GGGGGGGGGGGGGGGGGTGGAAAGTTGTGTTATTGTCTCACTGTTTGAAAGGTTCTTGTTTTGGACTTGTCTTTTTTTCCACTATTTCTTCCTGTTTTCTTGCTTTTTTGTTGTTGCATGTGCTGACCATACTTACTCCTGGAAAATGAGTTTGCTTTCACATCATTCACCAATGTGTATTTTGTTTCTTTCAGGAGGCCTTCTGGGGTCTTTCACAATTATTCATCAGCCCTAAGCACACCATGCATGGTGAGTGAGGAGATATTTCTGCCGTTGATGTTTTGAATTTCTGTGTTTCAAGTGGTACAGTGTTGTGTGCTGCCATCTTGTGCTGTCTGCTGATATAAAAGATGCTTGGTTGTCACATCTTTTTTTTCCTAGTCTGTTCAGCTTTCTCTTCTGTAAATTCTCTCAGTATGAATGCCACCATTTCTTCCAATGGTATGAATGAGATTGTTACCATATGCAAGGCATTTGAGTCACTCTAGTCACTCAGCAGGTGGTTGACAGATGCTCTGGTGTGGTTAGCTCTTTCTTTTACTATCAAGACATATATCTTCGTTATCTCTCCTACTTTTTTGTGTTTGCTATTCTCTTGTAACAAATCTAATCTTTGGCATTTATATATATTATGACCTTGCTGTGTTAAACGCGCCAAAACATGAGTCACGAATGGAAGAAAGAAAAGAAAGTCTCCTCTGTGTTTAATTCAGATAGAGCTAGCCATATCATATGGGAAAACATTCTTGATCCCCGTTTTTGGTTGTTGTTTTTGTATGATAAAAACGTGTTCTCTCTGGATTCTCCCCCCCCCCCCCCCCCCCAGGGCAGTGCCACTGACTGTAGTGTCTTTAGGCCATTCCCAAGGGGGGGACATTTCTCGCTCAAGCACAGTAGAATTGTAAGTGGGCTGATTCCTGTCACGCTCATAACTGTGCCTGATCTACAACAGGGAACTGCTGCTTTTTCTTTCCTAATCCTTACTATTGTCATTTTCCTCTACTTCTTTTGTATGTTTGTCACTCTCTTGTGACCAGCTATTTCCGGGGTGCCTTGATACTTGAAGCACACCTTGTGCTGTTGAAGCTAGAGAGGTGAGCAGAGTAAGTCTGATTCCCTGTTAAGACTTCTCTGTTGACACCCACCCCTTGACGCTCTTATGACCGTATGCTGTTGCGAGTGCCGTAAAACCCTCTACTATAAAAAAAATCTGTGGATTCATATTTTCTTGGGGGTTGTTGGAGGGCACCATTGGTATGTCTTACTTCTTTTTTTCCATCTATTCTTCCTGTGTGTCTAATTTGCCTTTTCCATGCACAAAGTAAGGGCTGTTGCATCGATGTGCCTCTCTTTAGTCAAATAAGCTGACATTTCTTAAAGCACAGTTATTGAGGAATGTGGCAATAATTTTTGTCTGGCTGGTTGTTTTGGTTCATGCTTAGAATACTATGGTCATAGTGTCTGACTTGCACACATATGTCGCTTCCATCCACAGGTTTCTTCATGCATGGCTTTCCAAAACTGCTGAGGTTCCAGGAACACCATGATACCGTACTGAAAAAGTTCTTACCCAAGATAAGGAGGCATATGGTGGGTGAACTGTCCAGTTATTTTTTTTGTTTATAGGTTTTAAACTCTGATTGTGGGTGGTTGGCGGGTGCTCTGGTGTGGTTTGCTTCTTTCCTATCAAACATCTATCGTCTTTATCTCCCCTCCTTTTTTTGTGTTTGTTACTCTCTTGTTTTACATATATATATATATATATATATAGTAGAGGGTTTTACGGCGCTCGCAATTGCATAAGGTCATATGAGCATTTTCACATCTATGCTTCAGCACTTATATGACCTTATTGTGTTGCAAGTGCCGTAAAACATTTACTAAAACTAAAAAGAAGCAAAACAACCCTGATCATTGATTAACACTTTGCCCCCACGGGGCCGCTGATTGGCGGCGGTGTGATATAGTGTGTACCGCACCTGTATTCTGGTCAGTGGGGATAAGTGTTGCGCGCGCTGCGTGGATGGAAAGTTTTAAGGACAATTTCAAATTCGTTGTACTCGGTTGACCATTACATGTACAATTTCAAATTCGTTGTACTCGGTTGACAATTACATGTTCATCAGGAGATGATGAATCAGTCTATTTGCAAATACATTTCGAAAATTAAAGTAATTCTTTAGCTGTAAGGTAGAGTGAAATCTTGATGTAAGTTGCCTTTCTTGAGAATGAAATCTTGATGTAAGTTGCCTGTCTTGAGAATGGAATTCTGCATTGCATACAAGACATGTGAGTACAATTTTACTGTGGGGAAGACATTTTATCTAGTGCCTTCATCTTTGTGGTGGGAAGTGTCTCTTATAGTAAGCTGCCTGCCTCTTAGAATGAAACTGTGCCTATGGAGGCATGAAATATTTACTTTGAATTGCACCAAATGACTAGAGGGAAAAGTGTGGGAGGTGGAAAGTGTTTGGGTATTTCTGTCTGTCTTTTTTGTACCAAATTTCATCATTGTGGTCTTCATGATCAAGCTGGGTACATGATGAGATGGATAGTTTTGTTTATAGGTCGTTGTTTTTTTTTTCTCACTAGGAACGCCATGAGATGTACCCCACACTGTACACCATCAAGTGGTTCCTCCAGTGCTTTCTTGACAGGGTGAGTGTTACTTTCTTCGAAAAAAAAAAAAGCTCTAAATAGTAGGCGTTATGTTTCTTATGGAGTCAGCATGAAAGTGACCATGGACATTACTGGTCCAAAATTTATCCATGCTTATGGCCTTCCTTTTTTTTTTTTTTTGAGTTACTTTCTTCGAAAAAAAAAAAAGCTCTAAATAGTAGGCGTTATGTTTCTTATGGAGTCAGCATGAAAGTGACCATGGACATTACTGGTCCAAAATTTATCCATGCTTATGGCCTTCCTTTTTTTTTTTTTTGAGTTTCTTTCTTTAATTG